CAACTCCCATGCTGGCTGGGGAATTCTGGGAGTTGAAGTCCACCCATCTTAAAGTTGCTGAGGTTGAGGAACCCTGCTCTAGTTAAGGTTGACCTGCTTAGAAAGGATGCTAGGTGGGAATTCTGGGAGTTTGTGACTCAATATATCTCTGGGGGCTCTAGGGTGGGCAAAGATGTTTTGTGCCTGGAAAGGAGGATGCTCCATTTAATCATCTGCAGACCCTTCTTTTTGTCTAATAACGATTTCTATTGCAACGGTAGCTTTCATAGCTCTGGACAGCCATTGGTTTCAGAGTAAGAAATTCTCAGGGATGAGGAGGAGGCACTCTATGATCTCTCGTGTTGGTTTTGCTCAATGAGAATGCAGGGTCCTCCTCCCTGCCTCCTTTTCTTTATTTATCTTCAGCTTTTTCTTTTTCAATGGAACAGAACTTTCCAAAAATGCACTCAAAAAAAGAATCTCTCGAGTTCCTTGTAGGAAACCACAATGAAGTATCCAATAAACCAGCGATGTGTTGGGTTACTGCTCTCTAAAACCAACACCAAATCCCCTTATAGCAGGCACAAAGGGGGCTATATTTGCAAGAAAATTAAAACTGTGTTAATATATAACACAGTTTTAATTTTCTTAGTTCCCTTGCGCCAGCATTAACGAGAGTGCTTATTTGTTCCTCAGTAGCAATATGAAACACCTTTAATGAATTTCTTCCACAATAGTGTAATTAATGGGGGGGGGGAGAGAGACCCAACCTGGATAAGAACAAAAAAAAAGGGCACCAAAAATATGGAGTATAAGGAGAGTTATTAAAATAACACATTCAGTGGAGGTTCTGAGAATGGCGGCTAAGGAGGAAAATCCTCCGGGGAGTAGGAGGTCGCTTTGCACCAGATTAGATGCAAGAATCAAATGGAGCAAATTTGATCAAGATGCTCGTTGGCAGGGCCAGCCCTGTCGCTAGGCAGGGTGGGAAGTGAAAGCTTCAGATCAGTGTTTCTCAGCCTTGGCCACTTGAAGAGGTGTGGACTTCAGCTCCC